TTTACCTTTATGTTACAGAAGATCTAATTTAACATAAAATAAAGGGTCTATCATATCATATAATAAGAACTTAACTCTCCCAGGACCGATGCAGATCTGTGTAATGTTGCCTCCAATTCAGCATCGGTAGTACAGTTTCACACTAATAAATATATCATTGGCTTTACTTTGTTGTTTGTTTTAGCAGTATGTTTTAGTACTCTAATTAATTCTATTTGACAACCTTTTTTTCAAATGTAGTTTCTTCCTGCTACAATCAACATCTTTTTTTTTTTTTTTTTTTTTGGCTTGGGCTGGGTTTGAACCTACCACCTCTGGCATGTGGGGCTGGCCCCTACTCCTCTGAGCCACAGGCACCGCCCAACATCTATTTTTTATTCCTTTATTTCATTCAAAAAATGTCTGTTGAGCTCCTGTTATATGCTAGGCACTATCTAAGATGATGAGACAAGACATATCCTGAGCTTACATTCTATTGGAGGGAAAATTTTGTTTCAAAGTGGTGCATTGAGTTTTATTTTGGGGAAGTCCAGGGGACTGTAGGAACTTGTGGAGTGAGCACCTTATATGGACCGGGAGAGTCAGAGGGAACTTCCTGAGGACCTTGTGTCTGAGCTGAGAATTAAAGGACAAGGGTAGGGGGGGAAGAGGGCATTAATTTAGGCAAATAAAAAAATATACGCAAAGTGCCAGGTAGAAGAAAGACCATGGAGCTTTCATGGGCCTGACAGTCACTCAGTGTGGAGAGCAAGTCCTGAGTCTCAGTAGGAGAACTGTAAGGAATGGGGCTAAGAAGTCAGCAGGTGCCAATTCAGAGGGAACCTTGTAGGCCATGCCCAGATAAATTATCAGGAGGGTAATTCCACACTCCCATCAGCAATTGGGATGTACAAGTGAGTCACAAAGTACTAGTACAAGTAGATTTTTACCACTTTTGTTAATAATTTAGAATGAATTACATGTCAGTGTATTTATTGATTTGTGTATTGTCTGAGTCAGATATGGAGGCTCCTCAAATCACGTGCCCTAAGGACATAGAGGCTAAGACTCAGGAGCAGCAAGATTCTGCTAATATTACCTGGCAAATCCCCACAGCTAAAGACAACTCTGGGGAAAAGGTAAGATTTGTGCTAATATTTGCATCCTTTTCTAAGTAGATTCTAAATAGACTGCAAATATGTGTGATACTGAAGAATTACTAATATGCTAATGATAATTCTCTCCATATATAAACATTGCTCATAAACCTTAATGTTTCATCTGATAGAAGAATGATCATCCTTGAGGTTTTTAATTCAAAATCTCAGATAAAAATATCAAGGAACAGAAACTTTTAATTTCCTGGGTGTTTTGTACTGCTGTATTCACTAAGAATTCTTGACTAAGAATTCTGTGTCCCTTGCTAATAAGCTCTAAAGATCTTTAAGAAAAGAAAGGGTATGGAATTAATTCTAATTCCTATTATGAGTGTAAAATGATTGGATATTGGCCAATCAGAAAAAAAATGGGTGTTTCTTATTCGAG